TACATGTAAAGGTATTATAAAATTTTAACATTAATGAGTGTACCGATAAATCTCTGTGCGATTTTACGTGGACAAAATGTCTCGAAAGTTGGGAATCAAAATTGTTTTTTTCCATTTCTTGTAATACAGTCTGTAAGAAGCCACTATTGTTTGGAAGAACTGAAGTTTGTTTTGATTGTAACAAATCTTTTGCTTTTATGCTTCTTACATTAAACCCAACTTGTGCTAATCGAGGTTTCTTCCAATAACAGACTGTCGCTGTCGGTTCAGGCTCTTCACTTCGACGATGAACCCACATAAGAAAAGCGATGGCATGCTTACAACCACCTTAAATAGATCACATAAAATTGCAATTAATATACAATTAATGTTTTCTTTGATGCGTCAATTATAATTTACCTTCTGAAGCTGCGCAATCTTCGCATCTAACATATTCCACCCTCTCAGTTGCCTCGTCGACGAGCATTGACACAGCATACGCCTTATTGTTCACTCTGTGTTCAGGACAAACTTTTCCCCTGATGTGGCATAAGTCTTTTTCCCGTTTTAACTCTACATATCCAACTGCTGAATCGCCGTAGTTTCCACTTTCAGCTCTACCGAAGCGTACATTAATAAGATGACAATATATTAGAGGTTATATCATGTTGTATATAACATTCAAATTAATATACTTTGATATGTCGTTATATAACGTATCACATACTGTTCGCGATTCTCTTTTGGGAGAGCTCGCTGGACCGCTGCGGTTGGAAGCAGGACTGAGAGGACTTAGCGGTGAGAGGCTCGAGGAACGGATGCACGCGTGAGAGGTTCGAAATCACGTGATCGTACGTTCTTGGCGTTTATGTAAAATACCGTGTGGTCCGTTTAATAAAGTAATATGGCTTACAGTTGAGCAGTCTATGAATTCAGGAATGAGAAGTCTTTTGTCACTTGCACGGGTCGATAGTATTTATCGAGAACCGGCCTCGTGAGTGGAGATGCCCGTGAGCCGTGTCCACGCTGCGCTGGCGTGCGCGATGCGCGGTGAGCTTGAGCCGCCGGTGATGCTGTATCCCGAGCTGTCCGGGTTGAGTCGCACTGCTGAGTTCACTACGTGTCCACACTGAGTCTATTCTTCGATGAGAAAATGAGAAAGTCCACAATAGCACTTGAGAATCTCTTGCACTACACGACGCGTGTACTGTGTACGGTAGCCATGAGCCAAAAAGCTCCGGTAACGTACGTGAAGTCGCGCGGTCGCCTCGCGTCGCGATCGGGCATGCGCGAGCAGCGCTCATGCGGCGCTGCACGATCTGACCCGGCTGATGCTGCCATCACGCCGGGGATGAAATAAACGAGATTCAAATTAATCTCGAACACATACCTATCTATAAATTTTACTATTTATTTCCTGTTATTACAAGTTTTTTAAAGTTACTTACTTCTTAGCTTTTACACCACGGGTTTCAGCAATATTAAATACATAACTTTCAGCAAAAAAGTCGGAAACCATTAATACGGTTACTTTGGGTAAGTTATCCGACTGTCCTTTAACAAATCCCGTGTTAATTTGCCACATGGCAACACAATTATTAGGTATTAAATATAAAGTACCGTAGCGTACCAATTTGAAAACCTGAATAATGACGTCACACACGGACTCAGTCAATCACAGCGCGTTTTATCCCCTCTCCTTTTTTAACTAGATTTAATAATTTTTATTGAAGAATTGTATTGTTAATATCGTTTTAGAGTTGCTCCATTCAATTTGAACAAGTACAATATTCATGAAAATAATTTTTTTTAATAATTGATTTTTTACAAATTGGACCCTATTCATAGCTCTCTCGAAGCGCTTTCGAAGCGCGCAATAGCTAATTCGGAACGACTTTCTATGTACTCTACGCGCTTTATGCGTAAATCGGAACGCACCCCTAGTATACTGGTATACGATTGACAGGAGTACCTGTGTTTTCGGCGTATACCGCAGTGGATGTGGGAGGCATCCACCGCCGGATGTCTTCGCTCGGAGCGCCGAGGCAAGACTGAATTATTTTACGATTTTCTGGAGGACTTTTATACCCTCCAGAGTATAGGCGCGCGGGGTAGAGACGGCAGGGGAAGGCGCTGCGTTGTTAATTTTAGTTGTCATGGCAACCGCGTCGCTAGTGCTCACTCGCACCTAGAGTGGGTAAAAGTAAAGTGGAGCCAATGCTGGTTCTTCTCCCTGATTGGTTCCGCCATTTTACGATCAGTTTCCGGCAGCCAGGTCGTCTGAGTGCCATACTATGTATAAATATACATAGTATAACCTTACTTTTGTGGTATTCGTGTGAAGTCAAATGTAAGTTATTGTTTTTACAGCATAATTACTAAAATACTAATTTTAAAACACTTAAAATATTTAGCCCCGGTGGTCGAGCTGGCTAAGACGCCCGTCACGGATTGTAGGGAGGTCCCAGGTTCGAATCCTGGCTGGGGTAATATTTTTCGCAATAATAATTTTAATAGCTTAATGCGGTCAACAAAAATCGCTATAGCCAGTGTAGGTCGACAAAACTTATGAAATTTTAGTTAAAATATTTACTTGTCTCTTCAGAATATTTTAACAATGGTCACATGTGCTGCAAGAGGATGCAGGAACTCAAACGCAAAAGGGTCCAAAATGTGCAATTTTCCAAGAGATCCACAACGATTGCATACATGGCTGGCAAATTGTGGAATGGAAAATAAAGTATTCAATTATTGTGCTGCATTATGTGAGGTGCGTTATGTTTTTCCTACTTTTGTATAGTTTGAAAAATTATTTACTGAAATCAATAACTGCGGATCAGAAATAGAATAACAAAATAGCTAAATTAAACACTTATATTTTTCAGTTTCACTTTTCAGCCGACATGTGGGAGAAACAGCGGATTGATGGATCAAAAAAGTTAAAATCGTCTGCGGTGCCAACAATATTTGGCGAGCTTGTGACCCAGCAAGAGCATCAGAAAATTACCAATAGTAAGTACAATAAAGAAGATCGTTCACATTCGAATTGTAAAGAGTATTGTTAATATATAATGTTACGTGCGGTAACTTATCCGTGAATCGTAATTTTGGTAATGCACCTCTACGTAAAAGTTTTTACCTTCGATCATTAATCGTATACTCCAGGGAGTTAATCGACCTCATCAGTGGATGTGTTAAAAAAATGAAATGAATATGCATATATCTGAACGTATAGGAAGAAAAATTAATGGTCTTCATATAGTTGATTCGGTTCAGTAGTATGGTTAGAGTATGCGGTCAAGTTTTTACATTTTTATTTACAAAAACTTTTCATGACCTTACCCCTCCCCCTCTAATTAAGACTAAAATTCCTAACACAGTTGTGTAAAATATTATTTCTTTTCAGTGCCAACAGTGTCTACCGAAGTAGAAGAAGAAAAAGAAGAAGGTATATCGATACTTACCGTATCGGTAAATAAAGAAGTCACGATATTACAAAGCAAACCCGAAATTGCAAAATGTCCATTAGCAAATGTTTCCAACAGGAAACAGACAACGCTCGACACTGAAGAAAGTCACAGTGTAATGGATGAAACAGTGGGAGAAACTGAACTCGGATCGACTTCAGATAATTCTGGAGTCATTGAACGACTGCAAAAACAGCTACAAAAGTCAGAAAGATTAAGGTTTGCAATGAAAAAGAGCCACAAACGTCGGCAAAGACAATACAGGGAAAAAATTAAAACCTTGGAACAAGAAGTACGTATGCAAAAACGTTTTTCAAACGCATTGAAAAACATGTTCAATGATGACCAGATAAAAAAGTTGAGGTGTGAGTATAAAAGAATGCCCAAATGGTGCAACTCCACTTTAGTCAAAGCCTATCAATTAAAGTTTTCATGTGGGTTATCTGGCTACAAAGAATTATTAAAGCACGGTTTTCCGCTTCCTTCACTGCGAACGCTGAATCGAAAACTCGAAAATTTAAAATTTCAGAGTGGAATTTTACACGAAGTTTTTCAATTTTTACACATTAAAGTCTCACAGTTGTAAAACGATAGGGATAGAGATTGTTTACTTGTGCTTGATGAAATTAATATATCAGCAGGTACCGTTTTCGACATATCCACTAATATGTAGGGCACGTAACTTTACCCGGGCATAATAACAACGACATTGCGACCAATGGCTTAGTTTTTATGCTTGCAAGCATAGGGCACAGATGGAAACAAACTGTGGCTTATTATTATACAGCCAAAAATACAAACGGTTCCGTGTATAAAAATATAATTCTTGAAATCATTCAGAAAGCAGAGAAAATTGGATTGCGCGTTCAAGGGATTATTTCCGATATGGGTTCAGCTAATCAAGCGATGTGGAGAGAATTTAATATCAATGTCTCACGTCATTCTGTAATTAAAAATAAATGCGTACACCCGTATAATGAGACTCGGCACTTATTTTTGCTTCCTCATAGAGGAAGCTTTGTTTTCGTGAAAAAATTTTTTTCCAGTTTTCTTTGAAAACATGTTTAGAATGTTCCAAAACGTCAAAAAAACACATTCAGAAAAATGTCAGTATGTATGTATGTATGTATGTCTGTATGTATCCTTACAACTTTAAATAACTTTTTAAATATGTAAGATGGAGAAAAATGTTAAACATGAAAGTTGTACGGTTTCAAGCAATGCATTACATAGTAATATAAATATGACCTTGAACAACTTCCTCAAGGTCACGTAAAGATGACCTTGAAATTTTTAAATCGAATGCCTTTTTTTAAATACATATTCTTATAGCTTACCTCAAGAGCTTTCCAAAACACTATAATACATTATATTTTCGTTAGGTACTTTCGGAGTTATGTGCTTTTGAATTGTTTCGTTAAAAAATTTTTTTCGAGTTTTCGCAGAAAACATGTTTAGAATGTTCCCAAACGTCCAAAAATCACATTCTGAAACATTTCGATATGTATGTATGTATGTATGTATGTGTGTACATATGTACAGGGTGTCCTAAAACCACCGGAGA